CTGTTCAGGGGAGTGCCGCCTCCAGAAGCCTCCATGATCCACCATCTTGTTTGTTCCTTCCATTATCTTTTATTTCCATTTTTAAACATTTGTTAATGTGACTTGGGTGAAGGTAAATAGAGCAGATCATCTGGATTACATCAGACAATTTGTAATACATTTTGTTTTGTGACTTGGGTGAAGGTAAATAGAGCAGATCATCTGGGTTACATCAGACAATTTGTAATACATTTTGTTTTGTCTCATTGGTTACAGCCCCTTCAGTGTAACATCGTTTATACTACTTCTTCCCTGTTTCTTGTTTTCATTCCTCTTCCTTTCCCAGTCCTTCTGTCTTTCTCTTTGGGTAAATGCTGCCCTTTCGATATTGAGTGGTTGACCATTCTATAGTATGCACACCTCACTTGTGTCTACTCCCCACTCCCCCACCCCGTGCCTAGCTGCCTCATAGCTGACAGTTGAGCCACGGGAGGGAGTTCAGTTCCAGATCTGAAAAATGACCTTAAGTCTCAGTGTTCCAGCAATCTCTATCTGACCAGGAAGCCTGGTCTTTATGGTTTTGAGTTTTGTTCCACATTTTCTCCCACTCATCCAGGATGGGGTAGCCAGGTACCATCTAGGACCATGGGGGCTGATGTTCCCGTGGTCTATCAATACTTGTTTTCAAGTGTCTTCAGTTTTCATCACTCTTCTGCCCAGGGAGAGACCAATAGTTGCATTTTCGATGGCTGCTCTTTAACTTAATTCCAGTCACCACTCAGCAAAGTAGATTGTAAAACATTGCCTTTGTGAACTGTTACGCAGTTGACTATGGTGTCCCGAGATTATGGTCCTGAGCTCTCAAACTGTTTGCCAATGTCTAGAAAGTTCCATAATGCTGTCCTGGTATGTATGCTCCACCACATTCATGGATATGTTATCCGGAAAGGTAAATACTCATCTACAAATATCCTGTTTCCCCTGTGTGTGTTTGTGGTATACGCCCCTCTCCCCCGACACCCTCAGCCGGAGCGTCTCCCATGCAGTTATCCCTAGGCGGCTGTGTATATTGCAGTACTGACCTCTGGTCTTTTAACCCAAGTGCTCATTGTCCTCCCCACCTCTTTCTTTCTCACCTTTGATAACCATCAAAGAATGTTTCTTTTTTTAGTGAAAACTTTTTCATGAGTTTTTACCATCGTGGTCTCATACAGTATTTGTCTCTTTTGAAACAACCCCTCGTACTGTGATGCACCATTAACTCTGGTTAATACAGTTTATGTTAGATGATAGAGGAATAAGAGAGAGAAGAGAAGAAGACGATTGATTTAACACATAGGCCTTTACAACACAGGGGAAAACATCCTCACAGTAGTGTTACAGTTCTCCTTTCTCCAGATCATTTTCTTAGTATTTTCCTCACACACAGGTTGAGGTGATGGTACTACATTTACAAAGTTAATTATGAGCGAGGCTATAGTGTACAGTGCTGAGCAGGTCACATGAGAACACTTAAGTCGTCTGCCAGAGTTCCCTCCGCATCTGCCGCCTCAGCTCAGTCATGCCTTATTGTTTGGCGAACGCACCTGACGTAGTTTGGTTCTTGAAAGTTCAGACCTTGTTTGTTATCTGTTTACTTTTTTACAATTTAGAACCGATGATTTTTTGTGGTGGTTCCCAAGGCACTTCATACCTTTAATAGACTTTTCTCTTGTTTTAATTGGGTGGTGGTGGTGGGTGGGGGTGTTTTCAAAAAGGTTGTGGAAAATGGACTTGAAAGGTAAGAGAATTTTGCCACAAACTTTTGAAGCCCACTTACATGTTAAGCTAGGTGTTTGCCTGCTTATCCTTGTTAAATTGTAATGTAATTTGAGAGGAAAAGCCATTCGTTTTAAATTTTTTAATTCTAGACTGTCTAGTGAAACACTTTATGCATTGTAATTTTGCTTAGTAAACATTATTGGAAAATGCTTGAAAAATTAGTCTTATAAAGGAAATGTAATTTTTCAGAACTGTCTCACACTTCCACCCCTCATTGCTCTGATCTGAGAATGTGGGTGGCTGAGCAGGGAGCCAGCACCCTAGTCGCACACTGCTCTCAGTGACAAGCTTCTCTTTAAAGTTTATTTCTTAAGTCATTTTGTGCATTAGTATAATTTAAAAAACCCAAAAACTCAAAATAGGTATAAAATGCAAAATATATTCCCTTTTCTTTACTACCGATCCCAGCCCTTAGATGTATATATGGTTTAGTTTGGAGATATTTTTTTTCCCAACCTTTGCACACACATTTTTCTTATTTATTTATTTTTTAACCTAACAATGTCCTACAAAATGTCTTTCCATACCCACACAGTGATTTCACTCATTCTGAATGACTGAATTATACTTTATTCTACCTTCTGCCCATACTAACTCATATGACATGTGGTTGTGTGAAAGTAGAGCATGTAGATTTTTATAGACTTTTTTTTTTTTCCATTATAATTCTCATCCATATCTATTTTCTTAGTATTAATGTTTCTGAGGAGTATATTATTTGAAAATGATATTTCCAGTTTATAGATTGTGCATTTCGATGGGTGCTGAGAGACTGAGGAAGCTAAATTATTTGCTACAAATTTTAATGCCTTGTTAATTTTTTCCAATCTCAGCAAGTCTGGAAAAGTTTGAAATTCCAGTAAAAATTCGTTTGAGTCCGGAACCGTGGACCCCTGAAACTGGTCTGGTGACAGATGCCTTCAAGCTAAAGCGCAAAGAGCTGAAAACACATTACCAGGCGGACATTGAGCGCATGTATGGAAGAAAGTGATGATTCTCACTCTGGCATCTGTTGGCTGCAGTGAGCTGAGATCAAACAGGGAAATACTTGAAATGTATGTCCTCAGCTGTGTATGTCCTCAGCTGTGAGGCACGTTCCATCCCTCCTGTTAGACCAGATTGTTGTTTCTCATGACATCACCATTTCTAACTGACAGGATGAGTAAAATATTAAGACAGCAAACTTGTGTCTGTCTCTTCTTTCTTTTTCCTCCCAGTTCACTCTCCCACTGATGACTGTATTTGTCAGTGTGTGGATTTTCCTGAATTAGTGGAGAGGCAGTGATTTTAAAACCTCAAGTTTTTAAACATGATTTATATGTTCTGTATAATGTTCAGTTTGTAACTTTTTAAAGTTTGGATGTATAGAGGGATAAATAGGAAATATAAGAATTGGTTATCTGGGAGGGGTGGCTTTTTTACTTACAATATTTAAAAGTACAAGGGTATTGATGTGAAATTATGTATATTTCAAATGCTTGTGAATCAAATCATTGTTGAACAAAAGATTTGTTGCTGTGTAATTATTGTCTTGTATGCATTTGAGAAAAATAAATACACCGATACTTATGTTTTAAGAAATTGAGACTTTGTGAGTATGTGTCTGCTTTATATTTTTTGTATAAGAACAGAATGAAGTTTGGTTTGGTTCTGCACCTAACAAGATAGTAGCAGAGGGTCATGTCATGGTTTGCTTAGCAGTAAAGGAGCTAACTTGGCTATTGGAATACCAGTTGATAACTAATCTCTAGTAGTTTACCTAAATCAAACTGTGAGGTCTACTTAGTTTTTGAAGCTGGGAAAATGTCCAGAGCTGAATAAAGGCACTGCTGACAGGGTAGACCTTAACAAACAAAGCGAGACAATAGTCTTTGTTTCGTTTGACCATAGACATCTGCGTTGTCGATTATGTTTATGAACATGTGAACTATGGAACATGATTTTATCCTAAATTGTCTTAGTATACTTATTGTCTAGATGGTTCGATCATATGTTTCATTTCAAAATTTGAATTTGTTTTCATGTCCCTTTTTCCTGTGATTTGGGTGAGCGTTGACAGAGACTTGCAGACTGCTATCCTGGTGTTGACTGAGACACCCCCGTAAGGTGCCAGCACTCTTCCTTCTCTGCTGCTCTGCCATCCCTTCCTGCCGCCTTCGGACTTCAGCCCTGGCCGCTGCTGCCTGTTGGATCTTGTACGCATGCCTGGTGCTCTGAGCATGTGTCCCTTCCTGCTGTTACTGTGAAGACTTCTTTGTTGTTTGGCTGAAAGCTGAGCCACAGACTAGACTAGAAGGCTGACTAAAGGCCATAGGCGTGGGGTTCCACCAGTCTGTCAGGCCAGTAAACCTGGTCTTTGTTATAATTTGGAGTTTCAGTCCACATTTTCCTCCCCCTCTACTGAGGAGCCTGTATTGTGACCTGTTTCATAGTAATGGGCACCATCTACTTCTGGTCTCAGAGTCATGGACCCTGAGGGTCACGTGGTCCATTGGTCCTTTGGACTGATTGTGTTCTGTGTCTTTAATTTTTGTCACTCTTCATTTTTTCAGTTGGGGAGAAACTTATCATTGTACTTAAGTACTTTTTGTTTTCCTTTAATAGCTTGCACTGGGGTGTGTGTGTGAGTGTAGCTTATTTTAAAATCACCTCAACCTTGTCCGTACATTGCAGAAACCATGCCGGGCTATGCCTGACTCCCTCTGGCCTCACTAGAGGAGAGAGAATGAATCTCAAAATCAGCCCAAGGCCGATTCCTAGGACGCAAGTTCAGATATGACTACCCTGCAACCTTCTTTACCCTAGTCTGATACCAACTGCCCCTCCCTTGGCACTCTATGCTTTACATCTGCGGTTGATAATCCATTGCAGTGGTCACACAGAACTCAGAGACAATACCCACAATTAAGAGGTTTCATAGGCAAGTGAACGGGTTACAATTCAGGATCAAAAGCCAACTCGGTGATGAAGCAGCTCTACAGTCAGGGATGCCCTTGTCTGTCATACGTCTCATTCTTCTCTTTGGCCTTCTGTCCACGTGGCCCAGTAGGCTCTGCACTCCTTGGGCAAGTGGTACTCAGCTCCCTTAGCCAGTCTGTAAATGTCCAAAGAGCATGCTCTGAAGGCCCACCTCCTGCCTTTAGGCACTTTCACGCAGTCCATGGACCTAGACATCTGCAACTGCTCCACGTCACCGCCTCTGCTGTCACTGCTTTTCTCGGTAGGAAGCTCACACTCCAGTCAGACGTGCTGCTTTCTCGGTGGCCCAGGGATCCTCTCTTTCTGCTTCCGAGAGGGCTCCTTTTAAACCTAGCGGGATGGCAAAACTAACCAATCCCGGCCCTGTACTTCCTATTTGCAAGGTCCTAGGGAGTCCTGGTGTGGTGCTGTGGCTTAATGTGTCAGACTGCAAAGCCATTTGAACTGCAAACCTCAAGGTCAGCAGTTTGAAACTACCAACTGTTCCTCGGGAGGAAAATGAGGCTTTCTGTTCCCACGAAGATTTACAACCTCAGAAACCCTGTACAGGGTCACTATGAGTTGGAACCGACTCCACAGCACATCACCACCACCACCACCACCACCACCAAGGAGTCTGTGTGGTACTGTGGGCTAATGCACTGGACCTCAAGGTCAGAGGTTTAAATTCACCAGCTGCTCCTTGGAAATTTTATGCAGGGTCACTATGGCTTGGAACCAACTAATGGCACTTAATACGATATGGATGTTAGAAAAGGCCTATCTAGTAAATCCAAGTTACCAGATACATTAACCTTTCTACACTTGTTATGGCCACTGAGTCGGTTCCAACTCAGCAACCCTGAAGAGGATTTCTTGAAGAGCAGCTGGTGGGTTTGAACTGACTTTGTGGTCCAGTGTGGATCCTACAGCTCTTTAGAACACTGCTGATTGTATAAGATGCCTGAGACGCTTCAGTTGATAACGAGGTGATTGAAGATTTCATGTGCAGGTTTTTCTGGCCGTATAGAAGTTATTGGTGAGTCTAGTGATATCACTTATAGAGTCTTAGGTATTGCTTGCTTGTTATTGCAGCATTATCAGCATTATCGTACCAACTTGATGTGTTCAGATCAAGTCTTAAGTCCTAGCTACCTTTTTCATGTCAGACGGTTATTTCCTTGATTGGCATCAAATAAAAATAAAGTTGAAAAATGTGCACATAAATCTTGTGTGAGAGAATGTGCTGTGAGGATGCAGAACCATGTAGTTTATTTTTGTCAGATTTGAAGTTTGGGAAAACTGCCAACAAAAGGAAAAATATGGAAGAAATCAAATGAAACCCTCCCTTATACATCAGATGCTGTGATCTAAAGAATTAATACCAGGTGGCTGGAAAGAACTTTCATGTTTTATCTTTTCAATGATTTTTTTTTTTCAATAAAGGTTCTATTTAGAGACAAGCTTGATGCTTACAAATTCTTACCAGTGGTTGAATAGTGTTGGATATGTATGTAGTTGAATAAACGTTCTAGTTTACTCTGAGAAATAGCTTTATGTAGACCATTCACTTTATCTGATAAGAATAAGTCATTCAGTCTTCCCAACCTTTCCTGATGGTGAATAATTTCACATGCCTTTTGAGTCATTTGAGGAATTATTTTATTCTGCCCTTTCCCAGGAATACATGAATAATGAGTAAGAAAGAGCAATACGGTTCCATGAATTGAGTAGAGATGGCTGGAGAATTTGATAAAGAACCTACAGTAGGTCTTCCGTTTGTGGATCGTGCCTTCCCCCTGAGGTTCTTACAGGAAGCAGCAGTGTGGGGAAAAGTGATGTGCTTGCTGTCTGCCATGAGTCACCTCCCCCAACATGGTGACGCTCAGCAGGTCTGCCGCTTCCCGGCTCCCAAAGTGGCAGGAACACAAGCCCTCCCCAGCTGAGTGTGGGAATCTGGTGGAGCTGGGAGCTGGTTTTCCCAGGTAGGCTGAGGAAAGGTCTCTCCTGTGGGCTTTTGGTGATAGGAATGACAATTTGGTCCAATCCTGGGTAACTGAACAGAGCTCAGTGTTTTGATTATAGTATTAGTTACAGGAATGGTTTAACTTTTTTTGCTGTTTTTCTTTAAAGACAGATAATGTCATGGGTGCTGTGATCTGTAAGTCCTCCTGCTTGTGAGATTTGTTTACCTTGCACTTTATGTGCCAGACCTCCACTGACCCTAATGATAAAGTGGCTGTCTTTATTTATCCTGTTCTACAGGCTGGAGGCTGTTGGTTCTGTGGTGGAACCTCACGGAGGTCCACGTGGGAGAGACCCAGCTTTGGTTTCCAGCCAGTGGGCTTCCTTCATGGCCACTGCCATCTGTAGTCACTGCTAACAGTGACTTTCTTTGTAATCTTAGTGGGGAACACTGGGGGCACAGTGGATACGTAGTCGGCTACTAACCGATAGTTTGGTGGTCGAACCCACCAGCTGTTTCCATAAAGAATCACCTAGACGACAGCAGATTCACCTGTGGAAACAGACTGCCATACGTCTCATGTAGTGGTTTTGAACCACCAACCTTTTGGTTAGCAGTCGATTGCTTAACCACTGTGCCACCACAGCTCCTGCCACATTCCTAGGCTCTGCTAAACAACTTCTTTTCTGACCTTTATGTAGTTTACTTCTGCTCACAAAAGATGTCAAACCATACCTTAGTTTAGTATGTGCTAGGGACTGAGCTCTGTGGCCTGAGCCCAGGGACATCATGGAGTCTGAATGTCAGCACTTTCTCCACATTCAGCCCTTCACCTTCTTTAATAATTTTTTTCTGGGTGAGCCTACCTTACTGGTGTTACATACTGCATGCATTCCCATCACTCACGTTAACACGGAGTGCTGGTATGGCGCTGTGGATTAATATGCTGGACTGCAAAATCGGTTTGAACCACAAAGTCAGCAGGTCAAGCTCACCAGCCACTCCTTGGAAACCCTGTACAGGGTCGCTATGGGTCAGAACCAACTCGCTGGCACTTCACAACAGCAATTCACTGGTGAATTATTCTCCCTTTCCTCTCAACCCTGGTAACCATCAAAGAATGTTTCTTTTGGTCTGAATACCTTTTGACTTTTTACCATTGTGGTTTCATCTCATATTTGTCTTTTTGTGTCTGAGTAAATTCACTCAGCATAAGCATAGTGGTTACGAATCGGGCTGCGAACATTAAGGTCAGCGGTTTGAAACTACCAGCCGCTCCGTGGGAGAAAGATTAGGCATTCTGCTCCCGTAAAGATTTACACCCTCGGAAATCCTGTACAGGGTCGCTATGGGTTGGAACCGACTCGACGGCACGTAACAACAACAACAATGTCCTCCAGGTTCATTCATGCTGTGAGGTGTTTTGCAGCTGTGTCTTTACTCTTCATTGTTGTTGAGTTTTGTGTACGTGCCCCAGTCTGTTTATCCATTCTCCATCTTTCTGTTGCTGTGAATACTACTGCAGTGAACATGGGTGTTTATCTACTTATGTCACGCTTCCTGTTTCTTGAGGATTTACACCAGTAGAGGGACTGATGGCCATACAATAGTTCATTTCAATGATTTGAGGAAGCGCCATGGCGTTTTCCACCATTTTAACAATTCCATCAG